TGTACAAATTCACACCTTATGGATGCTTCTCTGTAGTCCAACTTCAACAATTATGCCTTCTTCCATCCCATATTTTAAACTGACAGAGATGGTAATTATATTATCGTGAGAGTTCAAATATATTTATTTAGCACAAATTCACACCTAATGATGCTCCTATGTAACAAATGTTTTCATCGTACTCCCATCCCTGTCGAATATTATAAATTCAAGCGTTAATGTTTTTACGTTCAATAGTTTAGAAAAAGGTCAATAAATATTCAAATTTAAGTCGTTGTAGTTTAGTCAGTGTCATATGTTTTGGGGTCTGCCAGGTAAAAGAAAAATTGAAACCCTTCACATCTATACACAACAATCCATGAAATAAGTAAATTTTTTGACTTTAGGGTAAAATTCATTTTTCGAAAGGTTTGAGTTAAAATGCGCTTTTTTTGGTGAGAGGGTCATGCCAGGAATCTCGTTTACGAAATCATCACCTGACAGTTCAAAAGTGAAAAGAAGGCTTGCAGCTCGCAGTCCATTACGCCACCCGGCTTGAAAACCCGTTCGTTTTAAGTGGGGAAAACAAGATTGAGAAGTTTGGAACGTCTTCTTTAAATAGTTATTATGGAAATTCTTCTGCCTATCTTAGAAAAAGAGGAGAATCCCTTATAAGTTTTTTTTAGGTTTTAAAAGCCGCCAAGATCCATTTGGCCCAAACGCTTCAAATTCTTTGAGTACCTCGCCAAAATTGTTTCAATTTAATAATGTCTTGCACTGGAAAATGTCAAGATCGAAGTAAAAACCCCAGGCTTGTGTTGCCAATACATATTTAGCAACGGCACAGCGAGATTTGACGGACCGGAAGGTGACTAGGAAAAATTAACTGTCAAAACAAAAGAACCTCTAGCGCTCATATAATTCTAAGAAATTTTAAATATACAAAATACATCATTACTTAACGTTGAATTCAAACATTACACCTGAACTCTTTTCTGCCATTTTGGATAATGCAAAAACAATATAAATGTCATATAAAATGTTCCAAAGACAACTAATTTTTTGTATTCAACGTTGGCAACATGCATAATCATTTTTTTTTACTACATAATTCAGTCAATCGTTGGAAATTTGCGTTTCCAACCACCTGATGGTGAAGAGACAAATATAACTGACCTGAAGGCAAATGCAAATATGAATTACTCGAATGACCGATACGGTCTATTTTAGGCTTTAAAATTTAATCAATAAACTATCAAATTTATGTGAAGGATACAATATTTTAATCATTTTTCTTAAAATTGCTGGATTGTCTTTTTGAAATATTATTTTTTTTTAAATCCTAGTTTACTGAGAAATCCATACAGCTATACATTTTTTAATTATTCTAAAATTTATCAAAATAATCTATTAATTAACAGTAACAAATTAATCAATAATGCATCAGCTCAACCATCTTAATCTCGCCCTCTTAGCAAGACAAGAAACAAGCTTGCAAACCAGGAAACAAAATATCAACGAAACACAAAAACCAAAACCCCTCTTCCATAAATTCACCCGATGAATGGTGTTTGGGGGAAAGTCAGCAGGGTGTCGGAATAGGTCAAACATCAGACAGCGAATCGACAATAAGGAAGCTAACAACCTTAACAGAAACACCAGATCAAAATGTCAATGATATTGCTTTGAAATATAACACTCGTTCCAATAAAAGAAAGAAAAAGGTAATTAAATGAATAGTTTTGTGCTAATATATTAGTAACAGCCACACTGTAAATACTATTAATGTATTTTAAAAAATTTAGTTAATTTATACGTTAGAAATGTTTAGCGCAAATGAAATATGATTTTTGTACTAGAAAAATTAGTTATGCATGAGATGATGTCAAACTGCCCCTGAATTTTAAAAACAACAGATAAGTATTCAAGTTCTGTTTTGTCCTGTAATTAGTTGATCAAAATACCAACAATAAAATATTTAAAAGCTTGTCATTCAAGGTTCCATTCCGTTTGAATTTTAACAATGCTCTGTCTACTGCTTACCTTAAATTGTACCAAGTCTTCGATTATTTTTCTTTTCATTATTATTAAATAATATTATTTTTTTAATAGTTTAAATTGATCATTTAGAAGAGACAATTATTTTTAACAGTACGAATTCATTGTGTGTTATTTCACACCTGATGATGCTACTCGATTTGACAAAACTCTGCGACAAAAGCCTTTCACGACCGAATATTTTACTTTCAGCTTTGTTACTGAATAATTACATGGTTCGAAGACCAGAAAATAGAAATTAAAAACACATTAGTTATTTTTCTCTTTAAATTAAATAATATAGAAGTATTTTTATTTTTATTTATTATTTTTATTTTTATTAAGTGGTTTTAATTCATCCTGCACAAGTTCATATCTGATTATGCTTCTTTGTAGCAAAATTCTGCATGATATCTCCATTAATATTATAATTTAAGCTTGTTTTATATTTTAATCTATAAAAGACTATAAAAAAAACTTTAAAATTTGCCTCTTATTAGCTCTTATTTGAATTTTTTCAAGGTTCAAGAGTTCAATTAAACTAAAACAGTAGAAACATTTGCCAAATTTAAACTGCTATCAGTTATTGAAGAATTTGTTTGTTTGATAATTCCAAAATAAAACAGTATTTTGTTCAGAATAAAAGAAGTGGTTCAAATGAATTCGCAGTGCAAAAATTCCCTTTCGTTAATGTTACTTTGTAACAAACATCTATGTCATTCATTTATTATTACATCAGAACCGAAAGAAATTTTGTCGAGAAACTTTTCAATTATTCCTTACTGTCAAATTTTGAAAGACAAAATTAAAGATTATAATCTAAGGATGACAATTTTTTTTTTTAAATATTTGCTTTAATAATTTATTATATATAAAAATGAAATATGTCTCTACGTTGAAAAAAGAAGATATATTTATTAAATTAAAACTAATATGCTGTGTACTAATTTCCACTTGACGACTTCCTATTCTGTATATTAATTTCAAACTTATTTTCTAATTAGAAAATCAAAGATTATTTATAAATTTTTTAACCAGTATTTTTTTATTGAATTAATGTGGCAGTTCAAGGTAATGCTTCTTTGTACTAGTTCTACAATTATGATTTTTCCTGTTCCATTTTTAACTTCATTTTTTATTGCTTAATTAAGTAATTAAAAAACCAGAGATAATTTTAACACAACTTTAACAGAAACTAGTATTTTTTTCTAATTGATCAGTGACAGTTTTCTACTGGTTTTAATCAGTGAACAAATTCACACCTAATGATGCTTCTTTCTAGAAAATTTTTATATTATTTATTTATTATGTGATTAAAACGCAAGTAATGTTATCAAGAAACCTTTCAATTATTTCTTTTTGTCAAATTTAATTTTGATTGTAAATTATCCTGAGTAAAAATTGTTATCAATTTAAATTTATTAAAGGAGTTAAAACCAAAATGTTGTGCATAAATGATCAAGATCCACTATTATGCCTTTCGTATTTCTAATTTTAATATAATCGGTTAATCGTGTACAAATTCACACCTGATTGATCTTTGAAGTTCCTGTACAATATCTTATGACTTTTGCTATAATATTTATTTTTTTACTCGTTGCTTCATTATTCAATTTTGTAGGCTGCATAGTATCAATCGTAAGAAAGACAAAAGATTATTTTAAAAGAAGTCAGTCACTTTTTTTATTAAAATTGAAGAGTGACAGGGTTGTAGTGGCTCTAATCAGTAAGTTGGTACAAATTCACACCTGATTATGGCTTCTGTGTGGTTATATGATTATAACTTTTCTTATTCCATATTGTAACAATATTGTTTTGTCTAACAGGAAGTTAAAATTAAACATTATAATTATTAATGTGGGATTTCAATCACAAATTCACACCTGATGATGTCTTCTGTATGGTTCAAGTTCTATAATTATGGCTTTTGCTATTTTGCGTTTTTCATTAATTCTTTAACTATGCAATTTTGTCTAGTACATAACACAACGATTAGAAAATCAAAAGCTTGAAACTATTATTTTTTATGTATTGAATGACAGGGTTGTAATGGTTCTAATCAGTTAGTTGTGTACAAAGTCACACCTGATGATGCCTTCTATGTGGTTCAAGTTTTACAATTATGACTTTCCTTATTCCGAATTGTAACAATATTTTTTTCATATCATAAGTTGAATTTAAACACTATAATTATTCATGTGGGAATTCAAATCAATTAATTCTGCACAAATTCACACCTGATGATGTCTTCTGTATGGTTCAAGTTCTACAATTATGGCTTTTGCTATTTTACGTTTTTTATTAATTCATTAACTATTCAATTGTGTCTAGTGCATAAAACAATGATTACAAAATTAAAAGCTAGAAACTATTATTTTTTTCTGTATTGAATGACAGGGTTGTAATGGTTCTAATCAGTTAGTTGTGTACAAAGTCACACCTGATGATGCCTTCCATGTGTTTCAATTTCTACAATTATGGCTTTGGCTATTTTGCGTTTTTCATTAATTCATTACTATTCTATTTTGTCTAGTGCATAAAACAATGATTACAAAATCAAAAGCTAGAAACTATTATTTTGTCTGTATTGAATGACAGGATTGTAATGGTTCTAATCAGTTAGTTGTGTACAAAGTCACACCTGATGATGCCTTCTATGTGGTTCAAGTTTTAAAAATGACTTCTTTTTCCGTATTATATTTTTATCATAGGATTTCATTTTATAATTTTTAACGTGGGAATTAAAATCAATGAGATGTGCACAAATTCACACCTGATGATGCTTTTATTTTTGGTTTTTATAACTGGATTGTCCCTGAACTTGTGAAACGTTGGGTCAGCATTAATGTTTCGCTGATGAGTCGTGAGTATTTGTATGAATTATTGAAATTGGCATAGGTTCGGATCAACGGTCCGAGGGGGGGGGGGTTAGGAGCAACAAGGTGCACACCTGTCAAAATTGATGATTTAGTATAATCACTTACCGACTGGAAGTATCGATGAAGCTTTTTCCGTCGAGGAGCCTGACTTTGGCGAAGAGGACACCGCTGAGAAACGGCACCGCGGTGATCTCCTCCAGGCACAATTCAACAGAGAACTTGTACTTCTTCTTCTTCATCATGAATGCCATGGCAGGGTCCACCGCTCGCACGACCCGATGAAAGACGCTACATCGCGGATCAGAACGGAGGGACCATCCCTCGAACCGGCTCCGGAACCCCCTGGAGAACTGGGAAGACGGAATTCAGACTTTGTTTACGAATCGGCCTAGGGGAAGAGCTGGGGTCTACGGTTGAGGAGAATACGCGACGGGAGGACTCGACCGGCGAGGTTTTTCAACAGGGCGACACTTTCGGAACTGATCAGACCGGGCTCCTGATGAAGACGGACGTTCTCATCATCTCAGCCGATGGGCGCTACGTCCGAGCGAGATAGACCGTCGGTCTTGCAAAGTGTCAAAAGACTGAGGCCGAAGCGCAGTGTTTCAAGAGGCCAAGACGGATTTCCCTCAGACCGCCCACAAATTTCCCTTCCATCCCATAAAGAAAAACGAAATCTTCCTTCAGACCTCATCCGGCCCCAAAATGTCCAATATACCAGCCTCTACCTACACAAAAACAAAAATTTCATTTTATTAAGATTTCTTAAAAAACAACTTCAAAATTCAACACTAAAAAAAGAACTATTCAATAGGGCAATTTTCCACAAATAAAACCAAAAAATTCACTCATAAACTAACAAAACTAACCAATTTATGAGAAAATTTTTTAAAAATATAAATCAATACGAAAGTTTAAAAATTTAAAAAGAATCATTATAAGCAAAAACTTATCTTAAAAAAACACATCAGCCTTTACACAAAATTTCCCCACCACTACACCATTTTCCCTCCATTTTTCAAATTATATACTGAAAGACAAAAACCTGACACTTGTATTTTGTTTTTATTGAATAAAAAAAAGAAATTTATTTTTAAAAAATACATTTTTATACTCAAGGAAGTATAACCGAAATTAAAATAAAAACAGATCCTAGTTCAAAGCAGTTCAACTGAGTGTACTTTGTTTGGGAGAGGAACTAGATTTTTTTATGACTATTTTCTGACAATAAAAGTTCTATTTAATAAAATTTAAAGAAAATTATAAAATTCTTTTTAACTCAAAAGATTTAGCTTGTTCTTTTGTGTTTTATTTTCTCTTTAACTTTCTTTCCACTATGATTAATTTATGCTGCAATTTATATTGTTATAGTCAACAATTTAATTTAATTCGGTGAATCAAAAATATTGTTTATTAGGTTTTTGAATACACAGCTTTGCTTAATTATCCTGGTCAATCAGATTTAAGACAATTTGTGTAGTTTGACCGTAATTAAGTCAGAAAGTATTTTGCGAATTGTCAGGGATGTATAACCGAAATTAAAATAAAAACAGTATTGATTATTAAACCGCCTGGTGGAGGTGTTGGTCGGCTGAGAATCACTCAAGTAGAAGATAATATGCACATTCAAAGATAATAAAAATTAAGTAAACCAAATTAAATTAGATTAAAACTGTTGGTGCTTCTCAGTACAAAAATAAAAATTAAACTGCTCCACAAGCTTCGCAATACTCCAGTGCACTCTTTGCAAACCCACCCAGGTCTGATCATTCTGGGGAATTAAGTTCTGCTATCTAACTCGGTCTCAAAACTCTAGTAGTTTCCAAAAAGAGAACTCAAAACTCCGACAGAACACTCAGTTAAAAAAATGGAAGAGATGTGCAAGCAGCATTCAACAGAACCATCTCTCAGATGGTAGTAATTAAGGTAGATAAGTTCACACCTGAGTATAAATCGAAAAAATGCTGTGTATTTTGATACAATCGGTAATATGAAATATTTTTCAAAACAAGGTGGAAAAAAGTATGCTTAAATCAAAATGGAACCACTTCCCATTTTATAATTTACACTTTTTTTTGTTATATTGTACTAAATTTCCATGTTTCTTTGAAGCTATTTTCTCACTTTATATATTGTATTAAGTATTTTTTCCTTTGTTTTCTTATTTTTGCTTTTAAATTGTTACTTATATATTCAAACATTTTTTTGTAAATTGGATTAATTCTGTAAAATATATTATTATTATTATTATTAAAACAATATGACAATAATATATTCTTTAAAATATTATTTATAATCAATATGTATATAATATTGATAATTACTATAATACAATTTAATCAATAATTATTCAGAAATCGTGAGATGCGGTCTGGTGTGATGTAGGTTTCAGAAAAATATTTTCTTTATCGTGCCAACGTTTCGATCTTTATTGAGATCATCTTCAGGGCCTGGAATTTACAAACATTGTTTACATTTAACAAATACATTTTGGATGTGGAAAAGTGAATTTATACAATGCAAAATATATTTTGCACTGTATAAATTCACTTTTCCACATCCTAAATGTATTTGTTAAATGTAAACAATGTTTGTAAATCCCAGGCCCTGAAGATGATCTCAATAAAGATCGAAATGTTGGCATGAAAAGAAAATGTTTTTCTGAAACCTACATCACACCAGACCGCATCTCACGATTTCTGAATCATTATCGATTAACGGTCACTAATCACCACACAGATTTAATCCACATTAAGAAAGTCAATCAGAAAGAGAAAGAAGATCAGAGGGAAAAGAAAAGGAAGAGGGACGAAAAGTAGATGATTCATGTAATTTTTTAAAAGCCAGTGAAGAAGCACAGTGTACTTCCTTGGAAATCAAATTCCATAGTCTTGCTCCTTCCATTCTGAAGGATAAGGCTAAAGTTATAGAGGAGTGTGGAAGACATCGGTTAGATTGATTGCATTCGGGTAAGAAATGTGGGGGGAAAAGTGATAGATATTAAATTTATCTGATTTATTTATTTTTTAACAAGCGTATTTCAACTGCCAGTATTTTTGAAAAAAGCCTATTTGTAAGTATGTCGGGTTTGAATGGAGAGCGATTCAAATTGATGGATTCGAACCAAGGAACAGTGATGAGCGCTGAGTCAATGGCTAAACCAATATTGCCACCGACACCCCAAGATGGATTTAATTTTAATTATATACATTAATGTTAAATATGTACATTAAAACTCTATTTTTACAATTGCTTATAATGTTAAGATTGCTGAAGACTGATCTCTTGGTTTACTATCATAAAAGTATCCAATGTAGAAATGAGAAGCAATTTGATTCCGATGAGCAGACTGAGAGTCTAAGGAAAATAAAGAAAAAAATAGCATTAAGGAGGCTAAGGCGAGAATGAAGGAGCAACTTTTTGATAGTAGAGCTCACAAGATTGGAGTTACAAATAACGGTGAGATTTCTAAATTTTGGCTGAAAATGACTAAAGGAGCTGTTAACAAAAATAAAATTTGAAAAATGAAGAACGGCTCTTTTCTTTATAACCATTTTGATTTTCTTGTGTTTCTTCTCAGTCTCTTCTTTCGAGTTCGATGGCTTGTAACCTCACTTCCCATTTTTGGCGCTTTGTTTTTCTTTTGGTTATTTTTCATAATGGGTGTTTTAAGAACCAAGACATTTTTTACCTTGATGCCTTTGACTTTGTTGATCGCCTGGTTCCGGGCCTGTTTTGACTTCATATTTTAGACTGTCTCGATTCGACCCTCTTCCTCGAGGGTTTTCAACTTATTGTATTTTTCAGTCTGTTGATATCGCTAGGTCTTTTGGGGTACTTGTTCTTGTTTTCAGCATTGGGTAATCAAATTTGTTTAACATTATACTTGGCTTTGTAAAACTCACGTTAGGTTTACGTGCTTCCGATGTAGAAGGAATCGTTTTCACCTTGTGACTTTTATTCTTTGTCTTCTTTTTGTGCAATTCTTCTAGTTTCATTTTCTTTTTTTTAGCCTGTTCTTTAATTCTTTTTTTAATCAATCCTGTTTTACCTTTAATTTTTTTTAGTCTTGTTTCTAGTTCCTTTATTTGTTTTGCTCTTGGAGCATTTCCTAGCCTCGAATTAAAGCATACCAAAGGATAAAATCTAATTTCCCACCTAAATTACCGATTGTTTAAATGATTTTAAATTCAGAGTATGCCCTTTAATTCAACGGTTATTAACAAATGAAAGAAAAAATAACTTAGGTTACAAAAATAAAATACATTTTGATAACCGAACATTTTTACTAATAATACAAAAATTATTAACTTTGAATTCATACACGAACATTTACAAACTTTGAAATAGTAAAATCATACAACCCAAATGTAAAAAAGCATCTCTACCCAAGACCAAGTACAAGTTCCAGATTAAAGAAAAAATATGAAAATGAAATCAACATAAAACAAAAAAAGAAGTTTAATTTTTAACAAACGGACATATTTTTGAAGCCGTTGAAACTAAACGTTCATAACTGTCCATTTATTCAGTTTTATCATTGAGTCGTGTGGGTGTGACCTTTTATATCTCATTCCAAGAGTACTTATGAAAGCACCTACTCGAACGGTGTAATTATAGACGAGAAAGTCTCATAGTGGTTGTGTTCACACTTGGAGCAACATGGAAAAGCATCCAGTGCCTAGAAGACCACTAACTTATTACGACCCGGGTACAAACCGCGAAGTGTTTATATTAAAACCGGCAGAAAAGCGAGCCAACAAAATGCCAGCCCCATTAGGTGTAAGTGTAACTAAAATTAGAATTTTTTTAAAATGTTCGAAAGTGTCTGAGTGTTCTTTGTTGGGGTTGCAGAGGAACTGCATTTTTCATAACAATTTTCTGACGATAAAAGTTCTTTTTAATAAAATTTAAAGGGAATCATAAAACTTTTTAAATCAAAAGATTTAGCTTGTTCTTTTGTGTTTTCTTTTCTCAATTACTTTCTTTCCACTGCAATTAATTTATCCTTCAATTTATATTGTTATACTCAAAAATTTAATTTAATTCGGTGAATCAAAAATATTGTTTACTAGGTTTTTGAATACACAGCTTTGTTTAATTGGTCAAACTGATTTATATCAATTTATGCAATTTGAACCATAGTTAAGTCAGAAAGTTTTTTGTGAATTGTCAACATAATTTCAGAAGAAAAAAAAAAAAAAAAAAACAATCTGAGGCTGAATACAATTTCTGGCCTGTTACTAACAAAAATAAATTTAAATTGTGTTGTTTTTATTGAAACTTGTTGCATAATGAATGAATGAAAAATGAACTTTATTTACAAAAAGAAAATTCATTTATATACTTAAGGATGTATAAAAGAAATTAAAGTAAAAACAGTATTGATTATTAAACAGTCTGATGGAGGTGTTGGTCGGCTGAAAATCACTCGAGTAGAAGATAATATGCACATGTAAAGATAATAAAAATTAAGTAAATAAAATGAAATTAGATAAAACTTTTAGTGCTTCTCAATATAAAAATTAAAATTAAACTGCTTCACGAGCTTTGTGATACTCCAGTGCACTCTTTGCAAACCCACCTAGGTCTGAGCAATGCGGGGAATTAAGTTTTATGATCAACCGTGGTCTCAAAACTCTAATAGTTCCCAAAACGAGAACTCAAAACTCCGAGAGAATGAAACATTCAGCAAAAAAAGCCTTATCTAGCACAGGAGTCTTGTTTTACAACTGAAATTAAAAGAAGAAAAAAAAACAGTTCTTATAGAGCATTGATCATTAAACCATCTGCTGGAGGCGGTAATTAAGTCGGAAAGTCTTTTGTGAATTGTCAGAATAGTGTTAGAAAGAAAGTCTGAGGCTGAATACAATTTCCAGCCTGTGATTAACAAAATTAAATTTAAATTGTGTTGTTTTTATTGAGTCTTGTTTTACAACTGAAATTTAAAAAAAAAAAAAAAAACAGTTCTTATAGAGCATTGATTATAAAAACCGTTTGCTGGAGGCGGTAATTAAGTTGGAAAGTCTTTTGTGAATTGTCAGAATAGTACAATTAATTAAGGTTTTTAGTTGAGATAAAAAAGTCGATGGCACGAGTGGGATTCGAACTCACGATTTTCAGCTAGATACACTGCTGTTCTACCACTTGAGCTATCGTGACCTCGATCCACTCCAACTTCCCATCTCAACCCCACCTTTTGAATTTTTCCTTTATCTCAACTAAAAACCTTAATTAATTGTAATATATTAATTGGTCAAGCAGACCACAAAATTAGGGAATTGTCAGAATAGTGTTAGAAAGAAAGCCTGAGGCTGAATAGAACAATTTCCAGCTTGTTATGAATAAAATTAAATTTAAATTGTGTTGTTTTTATTGATTCTTGTTTTACAACCGAAATTTAAAAAAAACAAACAAAAAAAAACAGTTCTTATAGAGCATTGATTATAAAAACCGTTTGCTGGAGGCAGTAATTAAGTTGGAAAGTCTTTTGTGAATTGTCAGAATAGTACAAGTAATTAAGGTTTTTAGTTGAGATAAAAAAGTCAATGGCACGAGCGGGATTCGAACTCACGATCTTCGGCTAGATACACTGCTGTTCTACCACTTGAGCTATCGTGACCTCGATCCACTCGGACACCAACTTCCCATCTCAACCCCACCTTTTGAATTTTCCCTTTATCTCAACTAAAAACCTTAATTAATTGTAATATATTAATTGGTCAAGCGGACCACAAAATTATGGAATTGTCAGAATAGTGTTAGAAAGAAAGCCTGAGGCTGAATAGAACAATTTCCAGCTTGTTATGAATAAAATTAAATTTAAATTGTGTTGTTTTTATTGAGTCTTGTTTTACAACAGAAATTAAACTAAAAGCAGTTCTTATACAGCATTGATCATGAAAGCGTCTGCTGGAGGCGGTGGTCGGTTGAGAATAACTTGAGTCGAAGACATTGCACATAGAAAGATAACAATAAAAATTAAGTAAACAAAACCATCTAGTCGCATAATAAAATTGGCATTTCGAGTTTCCAGAATTCTTGTGGCTCTATTAAAAAAATTATTTTATCTAATATATCAAGTCATCACAGTCCAATAATTATTTCAACTTACTTTTGTTGTTTTCTCTGACCATTAACTTGTATACAAAAATAAAACGTTTAGCTGGTGGGAAATATTAGGAAAAGAGGATACAATTTCTGATGATGGTGATATCTGTGTTCTGCAGTTGGAAGATGTTGAAAAGTGAGCACCTCGGTTAGGAGTGTCTGGTACTCAAGAGATGGCAGGTGGTACGTTGTCGGGTGGGAGAACATTGATCCCGGGAGTGAGTTCGATCTCGCAGATGGCGCTTCGAGCCGCTTAAAACGCCATATTGTTTTCCCATCCGCCCTCGGCCACATTCGACGTTCGCGAGTCGCCAATCGCCCTCCAGGAGTTGTCCGCCCGGGGGAGACCAGACGTCGGTGCCTCTCCTCATTCTAAAAAAGTGTCCGTTTTGTTTCCGTAGGAGAAAATGGCCGGGAACCAGGGGATGGAGTCGCTCATCCCCATCGTCAACAAACTACAGGATGCCTTCACCCAACTGGGAGTTCACATGCAGTTGGACCTGCCGCAGATCGCAGTCGTCGGAGGGCAGAGCGCTGGAAAAAGCTCCGTACTGGAAAACTTCGTCGGAAGGTAAATTTCACCTCCGTACCCGAATCGGGTCCTCCCCTCCCGATAACGGACGATAATAACGATTACCGATATTCTTAGGGGGGTGGATAACCTCCTTCGAAATGTATTGAACCGTCTGATAGATTTGACCTAAAAGGTCCTCTGGTCAATAAATCCCCGAAAAACCCAACGGTGGGACCGAAGTGGATATTTCACCACCTGAAAAATCCATAATAAACTCAATAGATCGAACACAGGTCAAAACAGAACCCAAACCGAATCCGTTTCTCATCCTTGCTTTAATGTTGGAGACGTCAGCCAAGAAAATCGGGATGTCAGTCGAAGGTGAAGTCAAAAGGCAAGGACCGTGATGTAACGGTTGACTCATACTCCTCAGTAATCGCCATTCGATCATCGGGCGATTTACAGACGGCAGTCGATAGAGAAACCGCCAAAAATCATTTAAAACAAGACAGAATTTGTTTACTCGAATCATTAACAACCCCAAAAATTACCCATTGCCGAAAACAATTTTTGGGATAGTCAAATCTTTAGATTCTAATTACCAACAAATAATAAAATATTTCAAATAACTTGATAAAAAAAAGTGTATATACACCAAACAAAAGTGTATATTTGTTTAAAATTGACACACTTTACTATCCTTTTTCAAAAATTGCATTTGTTCTACCAAATCAATACACCTCACAACCGTCCATTGCAGAACACAATTTTTGGGAATGTCAGTCTTGGGTTTCTAATGAGCAGCAAAATACTTACTTACTATCCTTTCCTTATTTACTGTCCTTTCTCAAAAATCTCATTTACTTGTCCAAATCAACACACCTTACAGCCATCCATTTCAAAACAATTTTTGAGAATGTCAGTCTTGGCTTTCTAATCAACAGCAAAATTGATGATAATACACCAAACATAAGTATATATTTATTTAAAATTGTCACACTTTACTATCCTTTTTCAAAAATTTTGTTCGCTCTGCCAAATCAATACACCTCACAGCCATCCATTTCAGAACAATTTTTGGGAATGTCAGTCTTGGCTTTCTAATCAACAGCAAAATTGATGATAATACACCAAACATAAGTATATATTTATTTAAAATTGTCACACTTTACTACCCTTTTTCAAAAATTTTGTTCGCTCTGCCAAATCAATACACCTCACAGCCATCCATTTCGGAACAATTTTTGGAAATGTCAGTCTTGGGTTTCTAATCAGCATCAAAATTGATGTATTTATACACCAAACATAACTATGTATATGTTTAAAATTGGCACACTTTACTATCCTTTTTCCAAAATTTCATTTGCTCTGCCAAATCAATACACCTCACAGCCATCCATTTCAGAACAATTTTTGGGAATGTCAGTCTTGGGTTTCTAATGAGCAGCAAAATACTTACTATCCTTTCCTTATTTACTGTCCTTTCTCAAAAATCTCATTTACTTGTCCAAATCAACACACCTTACAGCCATCCATTTCAGAACAATTTTTGGAAATGGCAGTCTTGGGTTTCGAATCAACAGCAAAATTGATGATAATACACCAAACAAAAGTGTATATTTGTTTAAAATTGGCACACTTTACTATCCTTTTTCCAAAATTTCATTTGCTCTGCCAAATCAATACACCTCACAGCCATCCATTGCAGAACACAATTTTTGGGAATGTCAGTCTTGGGTTTCTAATGAGCAGCAAAATACTTACTATCCTTTCCTTATTTACTGTCCTTTCTCAAAAATCTCATTTACTTGTCCAAATCAATACACCTCACAGCCAACCTTTTCAGAACAATTTTTGGAAATTGCAGTCTTGGGTTTCTAATCAGCAACAAAATTGATGTATTTATACACCAAACATAACTATGTATATGTTTAAAATTGGCACACTTTACTATCCTTTTTCAAAAATTTCGTTTGCTCTGCCAAATCAATACACCTCACAGCCATCCATTTCAGACCAATTTTTGGGAATGTCAGTCTTGGGTTTCTAATCAATAGCAAAATTGATGGTAATACACCAAACATAAGTACATATTTATTTAAAATTGGCACACTTTACTATCCTTTTTCAAAAATTGCATTTGTTCTGCCAAATCAATGCACCTCACAACCGTCCATTGCAGAACACAATTTTTGGGAATGTCAGTCTTGGGTTTCTAATGAGCAGCAAAATACTTACTATCCTTTCCTTATTTACTGTCCTTTCTCAAAAATCTCATTTACTTGTCCAAATCAACACACCTTACAGCCATCCATTTCCGAACAATTTTTTAGAATGTCAGTCTTGGGTTTCGAATCAACAGCAAAATTGATGATAATACACCAAACATAAGTATATATTTATTTAAAATTGACACACTTTACTATCCTTTCTCAAAAATCAATACATTTCGCAACCATCCATTGCAGAACACAATTTTTGGGAATGTCAGTCTTCGGTTTCTAATCTTCAAGAGAAATACTAATGTATACGTACACCAAATTCAATGTATATGTTTAAAAATGGCAATTGTGTTAGTTTTCCTCATCAATTTTAGACTATTATTTTTTGGGAATTTCAGTCCTAAGATTCTAATCAAAAGAAAAAATACTGTATATTCACACCACACATAAGTGTACATTAGAAATGATGAAGGTGGAGTGATTATGTTATTTAATCTTTTTTAAATGATAGTTCTTACTCACAGTTATTGTTGTAAACTATCCGAAATTCAAGCTTATAGCTCATTGTCAGGTTGAAGGTTGTGAATCTAATGTAAATGGTCAGCATCAAGCTTGAAATTCTGTTAGTTGACAACAAAAAACTGTGAGTAAGAACTATCTTTTAATATATTTGTTTTACAATTGGCAAACTTCGCCATTTTTTCTCATGATTTTTATACTATTACTTGTTCAGAACGATACACTCTAGAAATGGCCATTGCAGAATACAATTTTCAGGAGATTAAAATAACCAAGAGAAAATAAAAGATTACAAATAAAAAGTACATATACAACAAAAGAGTATATTTGTTTAAAATTGAGGAACTTACCTATTCTTTCCCATAAATTTTATACTGTTTATTCAGATTAATCCATCATAGAAACATCCATTGTGGAACCCAATTTTTGGGAATGTCAGTCTTAGGATTTTAATTACCAAGAGAAAAAAATGTAGATATACACTAAACATAAGTGTACATTTGTTTAAAATTGACAAACTTTCCTATCCTTTCTCATAAATTTCATAAAATTATTTCTTGTGATCAATACTCCCCAAAACCATCCATTGCAGAACACAATTTTTGAGGATGTCATTCACGGTATTCTAATTATTGAGAGGAAATAAAATTCCAAATTAAATATTTTTATCTAAGGTTTTGGTTGTGATGAAAAATTAGTGTCACAAGTGGGATTCAAACCCACACCATCAGCTCAATACACCGCTTCTCTGACCACTTGAGCTATCTTGACTTCATGATATCGAAACTATTGTAGATCAAGTGGTTAGAGCAACGGCATATTGAGTTCGAATCCCGCTCTTGGCACTAATTTTTCATTTCAACCTTATATAAGAAGAATAATTAATTGGAATAATTAATATGGTCAATTATGGCCAATAAGCTAATATAGATTAAAAAAAATAAAATATTTCAAATAATGCGATAAAAAAAATATATACACCAAACATAAGTTCATATTTGTTTCAAATTGACACACTTTTCTTTTCTATCTCATTATTTTCATACTATTACTTGTTCAGACCAACACACCCCATATAAAAGTCATTGCAGAATATGGTGGTGTTTTTTTTTTTTTTTTTTTTTTTTCCCCCTCCAATGGATACCAGGGACTGGAGGAGTTCCCTCCTGAGTACTGCAGCTGAGCTGTACAGCTTATTGTACTTTATCCCCGGCTCCATATTTTGGGGGAGGACTCGCAACACAAATGTGAACTTGAGCCCCCGTTGTACCGGTGTTCTTCCATCGAAGAAACTCATTTTTGAAGGAGGTTGGGACCAAATTCAGGGTCGCTGAGATCCGATCCCGCCCCTTCCATTGATGAGTGCCGTGTCAATTTCTTTCAATTGCGGCCACCGGTCCCCTTAGGCGTCAGAAAAAGTCCAGAGGCGATGGTGGGGATCGAACCCACGACCGCGGGATCTAATAGCCGAGAGTCTGACGCCTTAACCACTCGGCTACCGCGGCCCCTCGCAGAATATGGTTAGAATAAAATTGTAGGAAATCAGTCAATATTTTTTAATACTGACAAATATCAAATATTCGAAACCATACACCTGATCCTCTTCAACACTGACAAATATCCTTATTAAGTAAATTTTGTTATATCACATTTCAAAATATCGATGTGTCAAATCAATACACACAAAAAAAAAAAAATTCCGTTGCATTCACCCTAAAACATTCATTGCATTTATATGCATGAATACAATTTTGGAGGAGTCTGATTTGTGAAAAACAACTCGGAATTGTTTAAAATCGTAATAAAAGGAAACTTTCTTACAAAATCCATTCTATTGTTTGTTCCGATCAATATACCCAAGAAACATCCATTGCAGAACACAATTTTTTGGAACACATTGTTTAAAAACTACTCAAAATTATTTGAAACTAACCGCAAAAGTATCCTTACCGAATAAATTTTGTTGTAGCACTTGTCAAAATATCAATTTGGAGTCTGTTACTAGTTCAAATCAATACTGATCTCGAGAACTATCCATATGAATTATATATTTAAAAAAAAAGATGAAATAAATAAGTAATATACACAAAATATTAGTTTGTATTTTCAAAAAAAAGAAGAAAAAAAAAAGATTGGAATGGAAAACCAAATTGTAGAAAACCAGTCATAATTATGTAAAATGCAAATTATTTACTTGTGAGTTGTGAGTCTATTACTTGGTTGAATCAGTACACTCAAAAATCTATTGCAGAATAAAAATTTTAACGTCAATTTTGGGATTCTATGTAATTGGCATGAGGAAAAACAATAAGTCAA